GAAGATGATGATCTTTCATCCAGTGTGAAATGTCCAACAGGCAGGCTGAGATACGAGCTGGAACCGAGGGATCATCAGGATGAAAAGAGAGGTATAGCTGGGTATCATCAGCATAGCAGTGGTAGGAGAATCCATGTCTCTGGATGACTGGTCCTAGAGATGATGTGTAGATGGAGAAGAGAAGTGGCCCAAGAACAGAGCCTTGAGGTACCCCAGTGTTTAGATGCTGTAGGTTGGACACCTCTCCCCTCCAAGACACCCTGAATGACCTGTCAGAGAGGTAAGATCTAAACCATTGTATAACAGTGCCCGCAACGCCCAGTGACTCAAGCGTAGATAGCAGGATCTGGTGGTTGACAGTGTCAAAAGCAGCTGACAAGTCCAGCAAAATGAGGACTGATGATTTAGAGTCTGCTTTAGCCAGTCTGAGATCCTCCACGACCGAGAGCAGGGCAGTCTCAGTTGAGTGGCCTTTCTTAAAGCCGGATTGCTTGTTGTCCATAAGATTGTTTTGAGTAAGAAAGTCCAGGACTTGATTGAACACTACTTTCTCCAGAATCTTGGCCATGAATGGAAGCAGGGATACTGGTCTGTAGTTTTCAAGTAGCGTATGGTCCAGGTTGGGTTTCTTTAGCAGTGGGGTTACCCTAGCCTGCTTAAATGTAGTGGGGAATAAACCAGAGTCAAGAGTGAGTCTTCAGTAAGCAACTCACTGATTCAAATGAGTTGCACAGTGAGTCTTTAGTTAACAACTCACTTATTCAAATGAGTTGCTCAGAGTGAGTCTTCAGTAAACAACTCACTGATTCAAATGAGTTGCTCAGAGTGAGTTATCAGTAAATAACTTGTTAATTTCAATAATCCGTTCATAGTGAGTCTCCGCTAAACAACTCACTGATGGAAGTGATTCGCTCAGACTGAGCTTCTAGTAGAAAACTTACTAAGTCAAATGATCCATTCAGAGTGAGTCTCCAGTAAACAACTCACTGATTCAAATGATCCGTTCAGAGTGAGTCTTCAGTAAACAACTTGCTTATTCAAATGAGTTGCCCAGAGTGAGTGTCTAGTAAATAACTTTTTAATTCCAATGATCCATTCATAGTGAGTCTCCAGTAAACAACTCACTGATTCAAATTATCCATTTAGACTGACTCTTCATTAAACAACTCACTGTTTGAAGGGATTCGTTCAGACTGAGCTTTCTAAAAAAAAATCATCGATTCAAATTATCCATTTAGACTGACTCTTCATTAAACAACTCACTAATTGAAGTGATTCGTTCAAACTGAGCTTTTAGTAGCAAACTCACTGATTCAAACGATCCATTTAACAACTCACTGATTCAAATGATCCATTTAGACTGACTCTTCATTAAACAACTTACTGATTCAAATGATCCGCTCAGAGTGAGTCTCCAATAAATGATTAAAATAAAATGCTAAAGCACAAAAGAATTCAACTTAAACATAAACGCAAAGCATATTAGATGATTCATTTGACTGCACAATGCATCTTTTTATAATGTATGCGTATTTGTCAGGAGTTCAGAACACATTTACTCACATTTATTATTCTCACAGTGATATATTATAGCTTATTTTTTGTTTGCACTCTTGAATTTAATCATCATTAATTATGACAATGACCACCTTTTGTGTCATACAGTTTTCTTTCTAAACGTTCATCAATAAGTTCATTTAATACATCACTAATCAAGCACTTTTGTACTTTGACTCCAGTGAAATTGAACAGAAGGGCTGTATATTTTTACCACGGTATTATTTTATTGGTGGTTATTCTTTAAAAAGTCTGATTTGTGTCCTGGATGATGCTTTCATGCAAAGTAAACCACATTTTTGGCATATTAAAAACACTTTAAGATATAAAGGAAGCATTGATATTGTGGTTGATGCATTATTAATGTTATTGCAATATAAATAAGGATATTTATGCGTGTCCGTGAAGCGCACACACATTCACAGGCACACACACACACAGCTGTTGACCCAGAGTTCTCCTTCACACATTTGCATGCAGCCAGATTTGTTTGGGCTGTTCTTGTTGATGTATCATGTATGGAAAGCAGTCGTCATGACTGACATGTTGAACTTTCTAGACCATTCTCTCTGAAACGTCACCTGCTTTCTATTATTTTAAAGCTCTGAAGTGTCTTTTACTTAAACATTTACACTCTATTAGATTTTTAAAGATTACCTTTTATTTTTGAACACAAAAGAAGATATTTTGAGGAATGTTGGAAACCTGTAACCATTGACTTCCATAGAAGGACAAAAAATGCTATAAGTTAAGGGTTGCTGGTTTCCAACATTCTTCAAAATATCTCCTTTTGTGCTTAACAGAAGATGGAAACTCAATCAGGTTGGGAACAAGTGGATGAGTCAATAGTAAATCGTAGAACACAAAAGAAGATGTTTTGAGGAATGTTGTAAACTTGTAACCACTGACTTCCACAGCAGGGCAAAAAATGCTATAAGTAAATGGTTGCTGGTTCCCAACATTCTTCAGAGTATCTCCTTTTGTGTTCAACAGAAGAAGGAAACTCATTTAGGTTTGGAACAAGTGGATGATGAGTAAATTAGTAAATCATAAATCGTTGAACACAAAAAAAGATGCTTTGAGGAATGTTGGAAACCTGTCGCCATTGGCTTTCATAGTAAGAAAAAAAAATATGCGTGTGAATGATGATCTTAAAGTGTTTTTTTTTTAAAGGAAAACTTCCTAACCATCAGGCTGTTAAACAATAATTACTTTTTCTGTTGAACACAAAAGAAGATATTTTGAGAAATGTTGGAAACCTGTAACCATTCATTTCTACAGTAGGAATAAAACTACTATAAGTGAATGGTTGCTGGTTTCCAACATTCTTCAAAATATCTCCTTTTGTGTTCAACAGAAGACAGAAACTCAATCAGTTTTGGAACAACTGGATGATGAATACATTGTTAACTGTGAATCGTTGAACACAAAAGAAGATGTTTTGAAAAATGTTGGAAACTTGTAACCACTGACTTCCATAGCAGGACAAAAAAATGCTACAAGTAAATGGTTGCTGGTTCCTAACATTCTTCAAAATATCTTTCAAAGTATCATTTAGGTTTGGATCAAGTGGATGATGGGTAAATTAGTAAATCTTTATTTGTTGAACACAAAAAAAGATGCTTTGAGGAATGTTGGAAACCTGTAACCATTGACTTCCATAGTAAGATAAAAAATAATACCCGTGTGAATGATGATCTTAAAGTGTATTTTTTTTAAGGAAAACTTCCTAACCATCAGGCTGTTAAACAATAATAACTTTTTCTGTTGAACACACAAGAAGATATTTTGAGGAATGTTGGAAACCTGTAACCATTGACTTCTAAAGTATGATTAAAAATACTGTGAATGGTTGCTGGTTTCCAACATTCAGTCTGGTTTATAACAAGTGGATGTTGAGTTAATCTTAAATTTGTAAGTTGTTGAACACAAAAGAAGATGTTTTGAGGAATGTTGGAAACCTGTAACCATTGACTTCCATTGTAGGTATGAAAATACTATAGGTGAAGGGTTGGTGGTTTGCAGCATCCTTAAAAATATCTCCTTTTGTATTAAACAGAAGACAGAAACTCAATCAGGTTTGGAACAACTGGATGATGAGTAAATTATAAATTAGTAAATCATAAATCGTTAAACACAAAAGAAGATGTTTTGAGGAATGTTGACAACCTGCAACCACTGACTGATACAACATTTATTTATTTAAGTTTATTTATATAGCACATTTCATACACAATGGTAATTCAGTATACTATTGGAGAAGTGTTGCTGGTTTCCAACATTCTTCAAAATATCTCCCTATGTGTTCAACAGAAGAAAGAAACTCAGTCAGGTTTGGAACAAATTAGCAAATCGTTAAACACAAAAGAAGATATTTTGAGAAATGTTGGAAACCTGTAGGCGACGTAGTGGTGCAGTAGGTAGTGCTGTCGCCTCACTGTAAGAAGGTCACTGGTTCAGGCCTTGGCTGGGTCAGTTGGCATTTCTGTGTGGAGTTTGCATGTTCTCCCTGCGTTCGTGTGGGTTTCCTCCGGGTGCTCCGGTTTCCCCAGCAGTGAAAAGACATGCGGTACAGGTGAATTAGGTAGGCTAAATTGTCCATAATGTATGAGTGTGAATGTGTGTGTGTGAATGCAACCCCCAGTGATGGGTTGTGGCTGGAAGGGCATCTGCTGCATAAAAAAATAAGCTGGATAAGTTGGTGGTTCATTCCGCTGTGGTGACCCCGGATTAAGAAAGGGACTAAGTCGAAAAGAAAATGAATGAATGAATGAATGAATGGAAACCTGTAACCATTGACTTCCATAGTAGGAGTAAAAATAAATATTGCAAGTGAAGGGTTACTGGTTTCCAGCATTCTTCAAAATATCTCCTTTTCCATTCAGCAGAAGAAAAATAACTGCTTTAATTACTAACATTTTTAACACACATTACATCTTATTTACACTCACCGGCCACATTATTAGGTACACCTTACAAGTTGGACCCCTGCCATGTGATTGGCTGGTTAGCCAGCAGTTGTACCTAATA